AGCTTCTCCCTGAAAATGAGATCCGACGAGCTGGTTAGGTTTGGACAAAGGGATCAGTCAGAATGTAGCTTCAACAGAAGAATTTTAGTCTTGCCTTATTTTTCTGTGAGCAGAAATCGAGTCAGGCGTGTATGTATCCAGCTGGATTTCCACCATCTCCGCCCTTTAAAAATGAACACGAGAAACAGGAATGTGTGTATAGTTAATGCATCTCATTTTTGACTATGAGTCACGACTGGACTATCAGCACTGGATTAAAACATTCTTAGTACGAAATGCAGTCCAGCTAGCTGATTTACAAGAGCGTTAGAGTAATGCAAATGGCCTTATATAGAAACCAAGTCTGATGTACTGAAGCACTGAAAACGGCTTACTTTATCTTCTGCAAGATTAATTCACATTTGCCTTCAAAGTAATCCAATTTCTTCCTTTCCAGATCTGTCTGGATCTTCAGCCTGTGGTTCAAGATGAAAGACTGGAGAAGCTGAATGCACTTTGTCAGCTCCTGTGTATGAAAAGAGCAAACAGTGACTAAGCAAACAGAACACATTTACGCATTTCATGCAGCTTAATGTGGTGAGTACATTTCCTCGAAGCATATCCTTATTCCCCCCCTTCCCCAAGTGCCTCGACCAATTCATGCTTGCAGTGCTATCACTTTAAAAAGAAGCTAGTTAGCACTGTGACTTTGTGACTTGCAAGCTTGCTTATTACTACTAGCGCCCCATGTTTTTGGCTTTCTGACCCGAGCATTTTAAAACCATGTTTTATCAAATCTGACTGCGGTTCAAGTTTGTTTATATAATAGTTTAAAATTATATGTGGTGTGGTGACTTGCTCATATCAGAACTTTGTAATAAAAGCAGAACCAGACAACAATGATGGGCTGATGCAGTTTTTCCTCAAGGATACCTTATAAATGTTGGTCTCAGGATAATAACCACTTAGTCAAGTCAGAATGAGCATTTTGATGAATGATGCAGTGTGCAGAAAATCACAGGTGCAGGAATTCATGGATCCAGCCTTTTCCACTTCTAATAAGATACCAATACTTTGGCTTCAGGTGTCTGCTAATCCACTGTCAGTGTTAATGTAATGAGCTGAATCCCTCACTCAAAGAAAGAGCCTGGGATGATTGATGAAAGCATAAAACTTACTTTTTTTCCTCTTAATTTTGTAGTAAAAATTTAATGTGAGAAATAAAATGTAACAAAATTAAATCGAAGAATAGTAATTCACTATACTGGTATTCATTAGTAAAATTATAGCGTTACAGCAAACACAGAACTGCATGAAATAGACTGGACTGCTGATCGATATCCCCACTAAAAGCATTCCCTTACAGTGAGGTAGAGCTCAGTCTGTCTCTGCAGAAGAACTGTGTTTTCTCTGCACGTCTCCTTCAGACTTTCTGCTCTTTTCTTCTCTTTGTCCAGCTGTGCTGACAGATGAGACAGCTTGGCCATCTTTAGACCCTCGCTCTCATGCTCTAGAAGAGATCACAAAACAGCAGGTTAGTCGTTGTGTCGAGCGAACAGAATGACGTGGTATGAAGCCATGTGGTGAAAGTGTTTGTAGCTGCTGTACCCCATTCAGGCTGATAGTAAGAGAGAAGGCTCAGACACTTTTCTTTGAGATGTTTCTCCAGCTGTCTTGGTAGACCCTGTTTCAGACTTTGTACATTCTAGTAAAGAAAATACAGCGTGGGCATGAGGAAAGCATTTGTAGTTTGAATTCATTATCAAAAAAAAGAAAAGAAAAGGAATATTAAAAGAAGTTTCCCAAACGGTTCTGGTGGTGTGCATGTTTTTATGGGTTTACGCTAAACAGATGCAGCACATCCCAAACAGATTTTAACTTGCATGTACTGAATTTTATGATTCACCTTCTCGGAAGGCATGAGCTCCATCACGAGCTGGGGGGTCAGGCCCAGGACCGACGGCTGGTCCTGGTTTGTTGTGTTACTGGGATCCAGCTGCCTGACACACTGAGCCACCAGTAGACACCTCTCCATCGTCTCATAGAACTACAAAGGAACAAACGCAAATTATTTGTTTTATTATATGTATTTTTTTTTAAGACCATCATTAGTAAGAGTCTCCTAATCGATTAAAAACTCCATGTGATAAACTTTTGTCTATAAACTTTTATCTGACCGTTTATCTATAAAAAACATTCAATAAAGTCGTTTTAGCCGTACAGCGAGATGAAAATCTGCTCAAAATTTGACAAAGAACATACAATGAATGCTTGTTAGCCTGTCCATAGCTCACTGATAGCTCTTTATGCACTTTTAAACTGTGTAAAGAAGTGAAATGTACCATGTTCTGGTCAGGGGGTACAGTGGCATGGTGCTTCCTGACACAGTGGTTCTGGATCATCTCCTGCAGCCCTCTGTGCAGGCTCTCGGAGCGCAGCCATTGAAGTTTCTGAATCTGCAGCTTCTTTTCAGCCTGGGAAAAAAAACCCCAAAACACTCACATGTAAGGACTCACACAGTACCTCACAAAATCGGTCAGATCCTGTCCCAGTTCTAGAAAGAAGGCTTAACAAACTTGGAGCCAGACCCTAAACACTGAGACAGGAACCTTTGAGATTTGGAGTCGAGAACAGCTGATCAGGCTTAGGTAACGATGAGTCGCTCCATCTTGAATTAAGCACCTTTATGGGTGCTGGAAAAATAAACCAAAGCATTAATGGTAACCCCGTCAATAAAGATCAGGGTCTCTATTTGAATTCAGTTTCATTTTTAAATGCAATCGTTCACCTGCTACCTGACGAGGTTATAGGAGATGAAAATAAAATGTAATACAAATATGGACCAAACATAAAAGACTTCTGTGATTTTAACATTGTAGTCCAACCTGAAACTTCCACTTTACATGTAAAAATCTGACTGTGGCTTCTGATGACCAATCCAATGCAAATAAAGCTTTTGAAATGAAATATTGTTACAACATATTCAGACTGCCTGAAGCCTGTATTCACAAAACCCATTGTAAGATACATTTAGTCCAGCTGTTTAGTCCATGTAGCGCTCACTACATGTCTGGCTATCCACACAGCTTTTTCAGGTTTTGCAGGAGAAAATTTGCCAGTGAGCAGGTTATTCGAACATAATCTGTTTCTCTGGTAAACGACACAGAGGTTAAGTTAGCTCTCTTAAAACTATAAATAAACAAACAGCTTCTTTTATTCCAGTATTTTTCCGTTTTTTAAAAAAAAGACTGTTCTCTTGAGCAGAGAAAGGGTCGATCCATGTTGTTGCAATTCTTAGTTCTCGCCAGTAGAGGTCAGTAAGTCACAGACTATTTATTGAATCATAATGAGTGGACTAAAATCTCGTTTCCATAGAGGTGTGACAAATTATGACTCCTCATTTCTGAATAGTACAAGACAAAAAAAAATACAAGAAAAACTGTTTCATGACCAAGTTTGAATTATTTTTTTAAACTCTACACTGATTAACTTCTGCGTTGATAAAAACAAATAGGAACAAATAGGAACAGGAACGACAGACACCTTGTCCAGCTCTGTTTTCAGCGGAGCGGTGAGTCCGGTTTGATCCACATGCTGTGCCAGAGTGGCCAGGAGTTTACAAAACTGCGGGTTCTGGATCAGATCTTCTTCAGTCATGTGACACAGTGGAAAGGAGGCGAGGACTGAGGGGAAAGGCACAAAATGCAGAGAAGTAATTAAGGACGGCCAAACTAAACGGACAATAGTAAATTTGGCAAGAAAATAAAGCTAAAAGAGCCTACTTTCGTATTTAACAATAACATCGTTATTTATACATTAATAGATAATACTTTAAACTACGTTAATTTATTACATCTACTTTCTGTTATTGCTACAATATAGGGTTACTAGTAGATATGCAGTCCACTTGTCTTCTTACCCTGTTGATGCAAAGTGTCACCCTTCCCAAGCGACGATATGTTTGCTGTCTCGCTACTACCGGACATTTTCCAATTAATTATTGTCCTTAGTATCCAAACATACAGGAGGTTTGTGGATTTGAGAACTATTTCTTTCAAACACGAAGACGAGCTGAAATCTTAAACACGTACTTCCTGAATCAAGTTGCGCGCGTTTGCCGGAAGCCTTCTTATTGGCTAACTGGACCACGTGGTCATACAGCGGTCCCTGGGTGACGGCAACGTGCTATTCACGAGAGCGTGAGGTGTTGAAGCGGAAAATATCGAGATTTAAATCTTTTCCCACTAACAACTAAACGTCCTTTGACATTAATATTAATAAAGTGACATGGCTTAAGATAAAACTGAATGTTTGTTGTTGTTAAACAACAATTACAGTAACAACAACTAGAAGCTAAAGAACGCATTTGGCCATTATGACACTATCAGAATATTCTCTTTCTTTTGTGTCCTTTGCTCCTCGATATTCTTTTTATTTTCAATTTTCCTGTTGTACTTTTAATTGTATCACATTTTTAGTTCCTTTCTTGTTCATTTGTTTTTTTTTTTAAATTGATTTTTAATCTTCACTTTTTGCTTACTGCTCACTTGGTTTGTTTGCTTCACTATCTGCATAACCTCCGATTAAAGATGTTGGACTTTTGCTTTGTCTCCTCTGGGTTCTCTTTCCCTGTGTTCCTTATAATTGGCATCTTATCCATCTACAAACAGGTATTTCACAACCACATGACAGAGGATAAGGCATGCACTGCTGTGTCTCTGGGCTTTCCTTGAGCAAGCAGTTAATAAAATTGACGAATAATCAAAATGTGCTTTGACTCTTATAGCTCGATGTTGGGGAGTAAAATCAATAAATGACTCAAATTATGTGTATATGGTCAAATTATATATGATCAACTATGTGCTGCAAGTTAGGTGGAGAGGGTGTTCATTGGACAGAGATGGGGCTCTCGTGTTTTCATGCTGGCTGTCAGTCTCCTCGTCCTTAAGATGATTTTGTTTTCGTGCCCTGGGCTTGTATGATCACCTCGCACCACGGCGGTTGCTGGCAGCGGAACTAACATCGCTTTGAACCTCCAAGGAGATATGATATTAGAAGCAGATGTCTCGTTGTGCTTTAATAAATGACAATCAAGTTTTTACATTCCACTAAATTTGGGGGATTTTTGGCTGTGGGATTTCTCCTGCTTGCTTTTTCTGTTTTTGATTATACAGCAAAGAAAATGGATTCAAAGACGTGGAAATATCCTTCTACATGTCAAGCAGAACATTACTAGCAGGGGGTGATTGGCAGGACTATGGCGCACACTGCCCTGTTTATTTACAGGCAATAAAACCCAGTATGTTCACCATTGTTAAAGTAGATTATTTATTTATTCTTTTATTGGGCCTGTCAAGTCTTTACAGGCTACATCGGCCCCTGTATTTATCAGTTTCTCTTCCATACATATTATATGTACATATGGGGCTGCACAATACTGGTATTCTTGTAGAGTGTCTTTTCCACATGAACTCTGACTTCTCATGTTTGCTTCTCGCAGCTGTTTCCTCGCAACAGTCCCTGTCCATATCTGGTCTTCTCAGTGAAGGATTTCTTACCTAAGATTTGCCAACACTGCGTGTACTTCTCTCCCAGTAAGCGTTAACCAGCTTTAAACTTTGTGGATCTCCACTGGACGGAAAGGTTTGCGTTTCCAGTCTCAATGTGGCTGTTTCAACAGAGTAATGTAACTTTGAATGGTCCACAAATAGTAACTTCACTCTACTGCTGTTTACACAATAACTAGTGGTCCTCACTCATCAATGAGTGGGCAAATTTAGACATGGGAGCCAGTCAATTCGAGTAAAATTGTAACTGACAAGGGATAAAACCAATGGATTGTGCTGGGATGCGACTCTATGGGTGTGATTGGTTGCGCTTATAGACCAGCCCTTATTCGCTTGACCAATTAATGAAAGCTAAAGCTAACCGACAGCTACTTCGGCCAATTATAACGTTGGACTTCCCGGTAGGTGGGTCTCCGTGTAGAGGGGTGGGGTGTTCGAGGTCATTCAGTCCCTCTCTGATTCACTCTATCGGCGTGTGTGTGTGTTGAGGGAACGGGTAGTTGGAGTAAGGAATCGCCGGGCGCTAGTGCATCACGAATGCTTTTTTGGGGGAAAGAAACGCCGCTGAAAAATTACACCATAGACCGAAGAAGCGACCCCCGGTGACGACTTCTGTGAAAAGAATCTTTTCAACGCAGCGACTGCGCCACACGCACAGCCAGGCAAACGCAGCCGGGCTATCAAATGTTAGCCTACTAGCATCCCTGAAAACAGACGGGATCAAGGTGTTGATAGCTAGCCTCCCAGCTAATTGCCCATCAGCTAGCATCCTCAGCGGTAGCATCATTAGCTCGTTTCTCCTCGCGCACGTCGAGACCTCGCCATCGCTCGTGGCGGTCCCTTTTAGGTCGCGGCAATCAAATCCGACACTGAGACAAAAACAGAGAGCGGTTCCTCCTCACTGGTGCTGGAGACGGCGTCTGCGTTGCATTACTTGTCACCATCACACCCAACCCCATCACCTCTGCCCCTCTTCCTCCACCCGAAACACTGGAAATCCACAAGCGGCCGGGTAGCGGCGAGGGGCCGGCGAAGCTGGGGGTGGTAACGCTACCGGACTCGCAGGGAGTCACAGCGGCTACAGACAAGCACAGCCGTGGGGATCTACCGACAAGTATGGACGGGCTGGCCGTGGAAGTTCGCGGCTCGAACGGGGCCTTCTACAAGGTAACCAGGTTACAAACGTAGTTTCTAGCTGTCCCAGTTAAAGTTTTGTTTCCTTCTCAAAACGTTAGGTTTCGCTCTTCTGAGCGCAGCTCTCGCTAACTGGTACTCTGCTAATGCTAGCGTGGGTCCACTCCTGACGAACAGGGATGGTTTTGCGTTCAATTAGGGCTGGCCATTGTGGTGTAGGCAGCTAGCCGTAGCTAGCAGTTAGGCTAGGCACACTTGACATCACCATGCATGGCCTATGTGTGTTCATTTTCTTTTATCACATGTCAGCGTGAAAACACGCTGTAAACAGTTTTGAAGCGACACACGGCAGGTCCGCTAATGAAACCCTGGATGGAAACATTTAAAAAGGGCAGCGAGCTGCTGATCAGACAGCTGTTGTGCAGCTCCTACGTGCAAGTGTGATGTGATGCTACATCAAAGCTCACATTCTTCATAATTGCTTTGTAGCCCAGCCCAGGTTTCAGCTACAGCGCTGTACGGCGTGTCTCATGTTTATTGTTCTGACTGACGCTTTTGGTTTCAATTCTGCCTGATTTTAAACAGAAAGATCACTTTCACATGCAGACACATGACTTCAGGTCTTTGTTGTTGCTGTGTCACAGCTTGTTTACGACGTAACATTAAGATGGCAGCCAAACTATACTATCAAGCATGTTTTGGTTTGTTTTTTTTCTCAGATGTCTTAAGTGGTCAGGCTCACAGGTTTGGTTCTGTGAGAGATTGTAAGGTTTAAGGGCCAGCTTCAGACTGAGGAGACACTAAACCGTTTTGGGGGATAGGGAGATAAACCCTACTCACCCTCACCAACTCTGTCTAGTTTTAGAGAACATCTTTGATCCAGCTTTTTAGATAGCCCATTTCTTTGCCTGCGTCTTCAGTCTTTTTTTTCCTCAACCTTTCAGCTGGCCGGTGGAGCACATGGTGGGTTAGTGATGACCCTATATTTACCCTCCTCATGCTGCCTCACCTGTTGTTCTGGTTTACGGGGTGACAGTTTGGCTCTGGCGTCAAACACTTTCCACGAAACTCTGCTGTGTCCATTATTTCACAGCTCTTTCGGCCGATGTCATTGACACATAGCTGCGATTCTCTTTAGTGTATATTTTTGCCCTTGATGGAGGTGAGTGGGGTGAAAGCTTTGCTACTTTTCTCCTTTCCTGTCGTGATTGGCACATGGATATAAAAGGATTTTATTCAATTCCACCACCATTCACCCCGTTACCACTTTATTGTTTTCTCTTGAGCTATGAATGGGCATCATATTTATTAAAGTGTCAGGAAAGTGGCACTCTATATGGTTTCTTTTGCAGCAGAAAACACAATGGGAAAACGGAGAAGACTAATTTTTAAACATTGTGACATTCCCTTTTTTTCTCTATGTCACTGAAGCTTGTGCATTAAACTGCCTTCTTTTCATCTATTTATATTTTATTATAAGCCCAGTCTGATCAGTGGCTGGTTATATTGAAAAATCTGTGAGAGGAATATTGCAGACCTGGCATCTTTTCTCCAAATGGTCTTAGTGACCACATGTGTGTGCTGGCCTAAGCCTGAAGTGTGGACACGGGCAACTGTAGTACAAACCTAGCAGTGCCTTGTGTAAGGGGCAGTTAACCTGACAGAGCATGCACACAGCTGTCTCACCACATGTGATCTGTGGAAACTGAAGGGTGATTACTTTGTAACTCCGATCGGTTGGCATTGCTGACTTCTGTGATAAAGGCCAATCGGCTCTGAAGCTGGAACCCTGCGGTGACGTATAGTATAGAGGGATGGATGGTGTGAATGCTAACCAGGACCTTCTCAAAACTGAGGCAGTGGTGGTTAGCATTAATATCTGAGAGTAGACTGCAAAAAAATAAAATAAAATAAAAATGGTGTGACATCTATACAACCAAAACCAAAGTGGCTTTAGAAAACTTTTAATGTGGTATCATGTTTCTGTCTTCCTGTATCATGATTCCCGTGTGGAGCTTATGTGTTCTCAGCATTTCCGTACCCAGGGCGCACACCCACACTTTGTTAAATTATTTAATAATTAATGCTATACATACTTTGTGACAGTAAATAATGGAGCACAAATCAGTTGCATCTCCAGTAA